CCCACAATGGCTGCTGCAACGCGTTCATCCCCACACCTTCTTTGTGAATTTTAGAGAGGATCCCAAGCAGGTAAATATAGATCGAATAGGAAGTTGAAAGTCGACTCTCCCACTCCCACAATTGTTGCTGCAACGCGTTCATCCCCACACCTTTTTTGTGAATTCAAGAGATGACCCCAAGCAGGTATATATACATCGAATAGAAACTTGACTTTTGAGTCGACTCTCCCACTCCCACAATAGCTTCTGGAACGCATTCATTCCCACACCTTCTGTGTCAATTCCAGAGACGACCCTAGGCAGGTAAATATAGATGGAATAGGAAGTTGGCTTTTGAGTCGACTTTCCCACAATGGCTGCTGCAACGCGCTCATCCCCACACCTTCTATGTCTCTTCAACCACATTCATTCCCACACCTTCTTTGTGAATTTAAGAAACGACCCCGAGAAGGCAAGTATATCTCAAAAGGCAAAAAGCTCAGGAGCACCTGAATCATGCCGAATCAAGGCCTTTCTGTTCTGCTCAGTAAGTGTTGTGTCCCCCCATTGTTGGCTTTTTCCTCTTTTCCCTCCTTTCCTGCTCGGTTCACCCCTCTTTATCCTCTTTTCCCTCCTTTCCTGCTCGGCTCACCCCTCTTTCTCCTCTTTTCCCTCCTTTCCTGCTCGGTTCACCCTCCTTTCTCCTCTTTTCCCCCCTTTCCTGCACGGTTCACCCTCCTTTCTCCTCTTTCCCCCCCTTTCCTGCTCGGTTCACCCTCCTTTCTCCTCTTTTCCCCCCTTTCCTGCTCGGTTCACTCTCCGTTCTCCTCTTTCCCCCCCTTTCCTGCTCGTTTCACCCTCCTTTCTCCTCTTTTCCCTCCTTTCCTGCTCGGTTCACCCCTCTTTCTCCTCTTTTCCCCCCTTTCCTCCTCGGTTCACCCTCCTTTCTCCTCTTTTCCCTTCTTTCCTGCTCGGTTCACCCCTCTTTCTCCTCTTTTGCCCCCTTTCCTGCTCGGTTCATTCCTCTTTCTCCTCTTTTCCCCCCTTTCCTGCTCGGTTTACCCCTCTTTCTCCTCTTTTCCCTTCTTTCCTGCTCGGTTTACCCCTCTTTCTCCTCTTTTCCCCCCTTACTTGCTCTGCTGTTCCCCTCTGCCCTGCTCTTTCCCTCTGCTGGTCTTCGCCTCCCTCCTCGTTGTCCCCTCCCAGAACATCGTGAACGAGACCAGATGCTATCCCTTTCCCCCTCCCTCCTCCCTCCCCTCCTCCCTCCCTCTAACCCCTTTCTCCCCCTCTCTCCCTCCCAGAACATCGTGAACGAGACCAGGTGCTATCCCTTTCCCCCTCCCACCTCCCTCCCACCCTGCCCCCCTCTCCCCCCTTTCTCACCCTCTCTCCCTGCCAGAATACCGTGAACGAGACCAGGTGCTATCCCTTTCCTCCTCCCACCTCCCTCCCGAAATACTCCTCCCCTCTCCATCCCTTTTCTCCCCTCTCCATTCCCACCAAGAACACGGTTGACGTGACAAGATGGTTCTTTCACGACCTGCAGTTGAAGGAAGAGGACTCAGACTTACTCTTCCCTCTCTCCCCTCTTCTCACCTGCTCTCCCCCCCTCTCTCCCTCCCAGAACATGGTCAATATGACTAGGTGGCTACTAGTCAACCTGCAGTGGAAGGAAGAGGGCACAGTCCCTGTGCATTCTCGGAAAACGAGGTGACTTTTGAGTCGACTCAAAAGCCACCTCGTAACGACCTGCAGTTGAAGGAAGAAAACAGTCCTTGTGCATTCTTACAACACCGCCTCCGTTCTCCCATCTCCCCCCCTCTCTCCCCCTCACAGAACCTGGTCAATGTCACCAGATGGTTTCTGGAGGACCTGCGGTTGAAGGAGGACGACTCGGTCGTTCTGCAGATGCATATCGAAGGGCACGAGTGGGCGATTCTGCAGCACTGGATCAACAACCCTCTCCACCTCCCTCTCCCCCACTCTCCCCCCCTCTCCCCCGCTCCCCCCCTCTCCCACCCTCTCCCCCCCATAACATGGTGAATGTGACCAGATGGTTTCTGGAGGACCTGCAGTTGAAGGAGGACTCGGTTGTTGTGAAGATGGATCTAGAGGGGCACGAGTGGGCAATTCTGCAGCACTGGATCAACAACCCTCTCCCCCCCGTCTCCCCTCCTCCCCCCCCCAGAACATGGTGAATGTGACCAGGTGGTTGCTAGACGACCTACAGCTAAGAGAGGACGACTTGGTCGTTGTGAAGATGGTTATTGAGGGGCACGAGTGGGCGATTCTGCAGCACTCACTCTCCAACCCTCTCCTTACCGTCTCCCCCCTCTCCTCCCCCCCCCTAGAACATGGTGAATGTGACGAGGTGGTTGCTACACGACCTGCAGTTGAAGGAGGAGGACTCGGTAGTTGTGAAGATGGATATAGAGGGGCACAAATGGTCGATTATGCAGCACTGGATCGCTAACCCAAGCATGGCAGCAATCATAGACGAGCTATTTGTTGAGTTGCATTATCACGATCCGAGCATGCAGGCGTTTTTTTGGACTGAGGGGAGGTTCAGCCACACGCGTGAGGACGCGACACAGCTGCTGATTGATTTGAGGAAGGCCAGATATTATGTGCATCCTTGGCCGTAGATGGCTTTTCAGACGTCTAAGAGATTCAGCCACACGCGCGAGGATACGACACAGCTGCTGATTGATTTGAGGCCGGATATTATGTGCATCCTTGGCCGTAGATGCTTGTGGGTGGATCTTACCAGATAGTGTACTGTGATTTGGAGCTGTGGTATCGAGCTAAAACAGGTACCGTAAGAGCTGGAGACAACCGAACAGAAAAAGAATGGAATGAAAGTGTTATGAGGGATGCCCGGTACGGACAGAAATCTCTACCGCATGTAGTTATCCATTACAGATCATGTGTAATATGGTATTATGATTCAATAGAACATCTAATCAACAAGGCGTTGAGGAGCAATGTAACACCCTAGTTAAGTAACTGAGTCACAGGTACTGTTCTAATGGCCATAACAATCCGAACAATATGCGACTGGTTACCTCGCCATACCAAGCTTCCAAACTTAAACACTCTGCTCGGCTTCCCCTTGGGCCGAAACCGCACCGAAAACTTTTGCGTCTGCCCTGGATTGATGGTGAAGCTCATTGGATTGACGTCTATTTTTACTCCGCTAGGTCCCCTTATTATCGCCCTATAAGTCTCCGGTACTACGTCAACATTCTTCACCACACGCCTTACCACCACGGGTCTTGAGAGCCGTGAGATCGCGATCGACGGACGGTTGAGATTGAACGCTTTTATCGGCCGGATCCCCCCGACAAAGCCCGGGAAATTCATCATGGTGTAGAAATAGCTACGCCCCGCGAGGAAATTTACGTAATCCTTGTAACCCACGTCGAACGTAAGACCCGGGTTCAATACCCGCATAGGGTCAACATGACCTGAGCCCATATCCCACGGGGTAGCTTCGACTGTTACCCCGGTGCTCTTCTTGCCGGAGCTGGTGGTTCGGCGGATGGGGTTCCCGAGCCTGTTGGTGGTGTAGGCGGTGGTCATGATTGCGGACGCGATTTGGGCCGGCGACCATTTTGGATTTTTCTGGATGATTAGGGCTGCAATGCCGGCCAGATGGGGGGTGGCCATGGAGGTCCCGGAGAGATAGGCGAATTTGGGTGGCTCGGAGGAAGAGGAGGGAGTGGTGGGGGTGGTGGTGGAGGAGGAAGAGGAGGAGGAGGAGGAAGAAGAAGAGGAGGAACTGGAGGAAGAAGTAGAGGACTGAGAGTAAGGCTGGGAGGAGGACAGAGTGGAAGTTTGGAAGGAGGACTGGGAAGAATGGGTTGTTTGAGTTGACTCAGAAGACTGAGTTGAGAAGGAGGGTTTGAGGCCTCTGGAAGCAGCCCAGAGCTGAAACCCCGGGCCGATGATGTCGGGCTTTAAGATGTCGTTTGAGGCGAGGAGGCGCGGGGTGAGTGGGAAGGCGGGGTTGAGGGGCGGGCCTGTGGAGGAGAAGTAGGCGACTGATGGGGCTGAATCTGAGAATGTGGTGAAGGGCGGGGAGAGGGAGGCCGTGGGGCTGGTAAACGGGGAAGCAGGGGAAGTAGCGGGGAATTGGGGCAGGGAGAGGAAGGGGTCACAGGGAATGAGATGAAGGGGTTGAGACGCGGGTCCGCTGAGGAGAAGTAGGCGCCTGATGGGGCTGTATTTGAAAAGGTGGTGAAGGGCGGGGAGAGGGAGGCTGTGGGGCTGGGAAACGGGGAAGCAGAGGAAGCAGAGGGAATGGGGGGAAGGAGGGGAAGGGCACGCACAGGGAAACGGGGAAGCAGGGGAAGTAACGGGAGATGGGGGAGGGATAGGAAGGGGACACAGAAAATGAGATGAAGGGGTTGAGAGGCGGGCCTGTGGAGGAGAAGTAGGCGAGTGATGGGGCTTCGTCTGAAAACGTTGTGAAGGGCGGGGAGAGAGAGGCCGTAGGGCTGGGAGGGGCAACAGAGGGGAATGGGGGTAAGGAAGAGGAAGGAGGGGAAGGGCACATAGGGAAAGGAGAATAAAAGGGTTGAGAGGCGGGCCTGTGGAGGAGAAGTAGGCGAGTGATGGGTTTTCTTTCGAGAATGCTGTGAAGGGCGGGGAGAGGGAGGCTGCAGGGCTGGGAGGGGCAACAGAGGGGATGGCAAGAGAGGTCATGGCAAGAGTGGGGGGGGATTAGAAATGTTAACAATAACAATAATATTAAATAATCAGAATCCAAACATCTTGGAGAGTGTTCATAACACGCTGCTACACTCACTTGGCCGCCTTGCTCAGGTACTGCCGAACAGTCTCGGAATCCTCCACGTTGATTTTTGCCTTGACTCAAAAGTAACCCCATACTCTCAGACTGCCACTCAGAAAGCACACTGCTGCACTCACTTGGCCGCCTTGCTGAGGCACTGCCGAACAGTCTCAAGGTGAATCTTGAGTCGACTACCAAATCAACTCGGTACAATTTTCTCGACTTACTTTGTGGCCTTGCTCAGGTACTGCCGAACCGTCTCGGAATCCTCCGCATTCAAGTGGATAGCGGGGACGTCTGTGTAGGGTACGCGGGACGGCGCCGGGGAGGAAGGCGAGTCGGAGAGCAGCAGCACGGCAGCGGCGCCGAGAGCAGCCGTGGCGGTGTCTTTCATTGCTTCCCTCACGTCTCTGGTTTTCAGGTTGCACACCAGCATTCGCCCGGAGAGTTTGGCCTTGTCTAGACTTGATGAGAAGCACTCTCGTGCCTGGGATAGGGGGTGGACGGGGGAGGGAGGTGGAAGAGTGGGGAAGGGGGAAAGGGAAGAAAGAGGGAAAAGGGGGCAAGGCGGAGAGCAGCAGCACGGCAGCGGCGCCGAGGGCAGCTGTGGCGGTGTCTTTCATTGCTTCCCTCACGTCCCTTGACTTAAGGTTGCACACCAACATGCGGCCAGACAGTTTTGACTCGATGTGAAACACTCTCGCGTCTGGTGTGGAGGGTGGAGTGGGGAGAGAAGTGGCAGACGGAAGGAAAGGGGGAGGAGGGAAGGCGGGAATGGGGGAAGGGGAGATTAGCACTGAGGAAGGGGAAGGGGAGCACTGAGGGAGAGGAGCAGCAGCACGGCAGCGGGGCCAAGAGCAGCCGTGGCGGTGTCTTTCGTTGCCTCCCGCACGTCTCTGGTTTTCAGGTTGCACACCAACATGCGGCCAGACAGTTTTGACTTATCCAGGCTTGAGGCAAAACACTCCCGGGCCTGCAGTGAGGGGTGGAAAGGGGGGAACAGGGGAAAAGGGGGTTCCAGCACTGAGGGAACGGGGAGGCAAGAGGGAGCCGGGGAGGAAGGCGAGGCGGAGAGGTGCAGCACGGCAGCGGCGCCGAGAGCAGCCGTGGCGGTATTGGTTATTGCTTCCCGCACATCCCTTGCGTTGCCTGCGCTGCCAAAGCCCAGCCCCGTGAGGCGCACTCTGTGAGCCCGTGAGCTGCACCTGGTTCTGCCATGCCATAGCTAGCCTGTGACTCTCCCTCTCTCCTTTTGAGGCGCCTCAAAAGCCCGGTCAGTTGCACCTGGTTCTGCCATGCCATACCTCACCAGTGACTCTCCACCTCTACCAACACGCACCAGGGACGAGAGGCAGGTCCCACTGGTTGCCCGCACCGCCAAAGCCCAACCCCGTGAGCTGCACTCTGTGAGCCTTTAGAACCGCACCTGGCTGACCTGTGACTCCCTGCCATGCCATAGCTAACCTGTGACTCTCCCCCTTTCCCACCACGCACCAGGCTGAGGGTCCCCAGGGGGTGCACAGCAGCAGAGGAGAGCACGAGGGGCAGGTTTCTCGCGTTGCCTGCGCTGCCAAAGCCCAGCCCCGTCAGCTGCACTCACCTTCTTCTGGCATGCCATACCTAAGCCGTGCATAAACTACCTCTCCCATTCACGCACCAGGCTGAGAGTCCCCAGGGGGTGCACAGCAGCGGAGGAGAGCACGAGCGGCAGGTTTACCGCGTTGCCAAAGCCATTCAAGGTACAACCCAGCACGCACCAGGCTCAGCGTTCCCAGTGGGTGCACAGCAGCGGAGGAGAGCACGAGGGGCAGGTCCCTCGCGTTGCCCGTGCTGCCAAAGCCGAGCCCCGTGAGCTGTACTCCGTTGCCCAGGGTGAGGTTGGCCTGATACTCACGACCGATGGTGCTGGTGGGGGGAAGAGGTAAACCGGGGGGAAGGGACAGAGGGACATGAAGGAGAGCACAAGGGGGAGGTTTATCGCGTTTCCACTGCTGTCAAAGCCCAGCCCCGTGAGCTGTACTCCGTTGCCCAGGGTGAGGTTGGCCTGATACTCACGGCCGATGGTGCTGGTGGGGGGGGGGGAGGGGGATGGGAGGGAAGGACAGGTGCGAAGAGATGAAAGGAAGAGAGGATGTGAATAAGAAATCAAAGCTCAGCCCCGTGAGCTGCACTCCGTTGCGCAGGGTGAGGTTGGCCTGATACTCACGACCAATGGTGCTGGTGGGGGTACGGCAGGGGAAACGGAGGGAGAGAAGGGAAGGACTTGAGTGGGAGACTGTTGCAAGCCCAGCCCCGCGAGGTGCACTCCATTGCCCAGGGTGAGATTCGCCTGTGATACTCATTCCCGATGGTGCAGGAATGGCAGGCTGTTGACTTGGGCGCGAGATGGCCTCACCAAACCCAAGTCAACCCAAGTCAACCCAAGTCAACCCAAGTCCACCCAAGTCAGCCCAAGTCAGCCCAACTCAGCCCAAGTCAACCCAAGTCAACCCAAGTCAACACAAGTCAACACAAGTCAACCCAGTCAACCCAAGTCAACCCAGAGCCTCACCCTGCCCTCACGGTGAGATAGACGGGCACTGTGATGCCGAGAGTGCCGAGCAGCTCGCAGGCCACAGCAAGAGTCCACGAAAATCCTGTCGATACAAGTCAACCCCAGTCAAGTCAACCCAAGTCAATTAGATCAAACCGAGCATCACCTGGCCCCAACGGTGAGGTAGAAGGGCGCTGTGTTGGTGAGAGTATCAAGCATTTGCCCCTTAGAGGGCGTGCCGCTGTTGCCCGCTGCAAAGTCAACTCGAGTCAACAAGAGTCTTACCTAGCCCCCACGGTGAGGTAGAAGGGCGCCGTGCTGCTGAGAGTGCCGAGAGGCGAAAACTCGCAGGCAGTCAGTCAGTCAGGTAAGCCCAAGTCAACCAAGTCACCCCCAGCCTTACCTAGCCCCCACAGTGTGATAGAAGGGCGCCGTGTTGCTGAGGGTACCGAGCATCTGGCCTTTAGAGGGGGCGCCGCTGTTGCCCGCTGCAAAGGCTATAAACACCCCCGCCTTGACTGCAACCCAAGTCAAGTCAACCCAAGTCAAAACAAGTCTTATCTGGCTCCAACAGTGAGGTAAAATGGCGCCGTGTTGCTGAGGGTGCCGAGCATCTGGCTCCCAAGTCAGCCCAAGTCAGCCCAAGTCAAGTCAACCCAAGTCAACACAAGTCTAACCTGGCTCCAACGGTGAGGTAAAAGGGCGCTGTGTTGCTGAGAGTGCCGAGCATTTGACCTTTAGAGGGTGCTCCGCTGTTGCCCGCTGCAAAGGCTATAAACACGCCCGCCTTGAACGCTTGCAGGTACGGCAGGTCATTGAAATACCGCGAGATGGCCCCACCGAACGAGCACGAGAGCACATCCACACCGTCGGATACGGCCGCATCAACGGCTGCGCGGATGTCTGACTGAAACGCGCCCGCTTCTCCCCCCGGGGTCACCCAGAGGGCCTTGTAGGTGGCGAGGCGCGCGCGGGGTGCAACACCAGAGATGGTGCCGAGGGTTCTGGTGGGGGAGAGAGTCAGAGGCACGTTGGCGTTGCCTGCTGCTGCGCTGTTGAGTGGAAGGAGAGGGGGGAGGGAGAGGGAGAGGGAGAGGGAGAGGGAGAGGGAAAGGGAGAGGGGGGAGGGAGAGGGAGGGAGAGAGGAAAGCACCATGAGTTGAGAGCACGGGATGTCTGACTGACACGCGCCCGCCTCCCCCCGGGGTGACCCAGAGCGCCTTGTAGGTGGCTAGGCGTGCCCTGGGAGCGACGCCTGATATAGGCCCTAGCGTTCTGGAGGGGGAGAGGGTGAGAGGCACGTTGGCGTTGCCTGCTGCTGCGCTGTGGGTTGTGGGCGTGGGCGGGAGCAGAGGGAGTGGAGAAGGAATGGGCGTCACCCAGCGCGCCTTGTAGGTGGCCAGGCGCGCCCTGGGAGCCACACCGGAGATGGTGCCGAGGGTTCTGGTGGGGGAGAGGGTGAGAGGCACGTTGGCGTTGCCTGCTGCTGCGCTGTGAGTTGAAGTGGGGAGGAGAGAGGGAGAAGGAGAAGGAGGGGAAGAGGGAGAGGGAAGGAGAGTGGGAGAAACTATGAGTAGAGAGATTCGACGGGGAGTCGCCCGGCTTGTTCCGCCGGCACCCCACACGCATTCTGAACCACGCACACACTAGCCCACCCACCCACGCACCTGGCACACCACGTGCCGTGACCGTCCCCATCGCGCGGGGAGAGAAAGTCCTTCTCCTTGTTCACCCCCGCGGACGACTTGCGCACGCCCGCCGCGAAGAAGCGCGCGCCGATGAGCTTGCGCGAGCACAGCGACCGGGGGAAGTCCCGCGTCGCCTGGCACTTTCCGCGCCACCTGCGGGGAACAGGGCCGTACGGGTTGGCCGGCTGGGGGGAGAGGGGGGAGAGGAAGGCGGGGGGAAGTGGAGGGGGAGGGGACGGGTGAAAGGGGGGGTTTTAGGAGAGGAGGGGAGAAGAAGCAGGGAGCAGAGATGGGATTACGGGAGAGACCCTCACTCAGTTTTCAAATGAAGGGTGAGATGAGACAGCTCTCTGTATGTGAACACTTACTGTATCTGCAAACGACGGGTGTTCCGGCCACACACTGGTGTCAAATACCCCTTTCCACCTCGATACTGCTGACTCGCTACTCGCTAATATATTGTTTTTTTCTGCTTTAAACACTTACTGTGTTAGCAAATGACGGGTGTTCCGGCCACACGCCCGTGTCAATCACTCCCACAATCACCCCCTCCCCCGCGCTATCCTGCCCGCCATTCGCCGCCCACAGGGACCCGGGCAGCCGAAGAAACCCCGGCGAATCAGTCATCAGCTTTCTCCTCCTCACGCTGCCCGCCTGCCCGCCCTCCTGCCCGCCCTCCTGCCCGCCCTGACCGCCCCCCGCGACCTCGGGCAGCCGAGAAAAAGTATCCGAGTCGAGAAAACTGGTACTACTAGTTAGTGCGGGAAGGTATTCATCCTCCTCCACCGCCGCTACAGCCGGGTGAAGCTTTAATCTCCTCGCCTCCGCTGACGTCAGCGACGCGGCGAAACCGTTGGACGTGTAAGTGTAACTGCGCGGGGGCGAGCGAGCGGCGGAGCGGCGCGAGAGCCGCGAGAGGAGGCAAACGGGGAAAGTGAGGGGGAGGGGGCGGGGAAAAGGAGGCAAACGGGGAATGTAGAAGGGGCGATTAGGGGGAAAGGGCGCATAAGGGGAATGCGGAAGATGCAAGCGGGGGAGATGGGAAAATCGGGAAGTAGTACAGGCGCGGAATGGGAGATGCGCAAGTGAATCTGCACGGGGAAGCGAGAAGAGAGCTGAGAGAGATGCGCGCAACTTCCATCCCCCCACAGCCTTCACCAAACTCCCCCCTTTTCCCCCCATTCCCACCCTCTCCTTCGCGCACCTTGGGAATTGCTCCTTTACAAGCACATTCACTACCAGCCACACACCTCTGGTAAATCGCGCGGCTCGGGATGTAGAGTGTCGCCAGCAGCTGCCTGTGCGACTGCTTCAGGAATCGCACGAACGATCGCACGTGCGGCATGCGAACATCAGGGCGGTTCAAGCGGGGAATCACCCCTTCGCTTGTTGGCAGTTTCCTTTTCCCCTTCACCCCGCCTGGTTTAGCCTGTGCTCTCGCCCGCCCTTCCAGCCATTCTTTATTGCTGTTTTCCCCTTGAACAACCTGAGAAGCCGCCGCTTCGGTAGAATTAGTGTTGTTTCCCGAAGGCGTTAGCATCCCCTCGCCTCCTTTCCCCTCTCCTTCCCCCTCCCCCTCCCCCTCGGCTTCCCCTTCCGATTCATCGTCCTCGTTATCAGGCAACGCGGTAGCAGACAAGCCGGGCAGCCCCCCGCGATACGACAGCACAGGCGGCACGGACGCTAAGGTCACAATGTACTGTTTCCGTAAAGCGCTGTTAGTACTAACGAGGATAGGCGCGACTCGAGCCGTCCGATTACCGACCACTTCCCGCGCCGACGCGCCTGCAGCTGAGTCTCGAGTCGCGTTGAAAGACGGTGTTCCGGCAGCATCCGCGCGAACTACTGGCGAGAGTGACAATAGCGAGGTCCACGTCAGCACTATCGTTATCAGCACCGCCGATCTTCCGCGATACCAGCTCCTACAAGTAGACGTGGGAAGCCGCACCCGACGGTGCGCGGCACGGGAGTTACGTCTCTGAAGCGCCTCCGAAACCGAAGCGCATGTCGTGGACGAATGGGAAGTAACCGGCACGGGATGAACTCGAGGGAGTGCGAGGGAGGCAACACCTTGTATTCTCTGAAGCGCCTCTACAACTGAAGCGCGCTTCGTAGACGAATGCGTACTATTGAGTTGACACCGACGCCTCGTGAGAGGCCCACTCCATGAGACGGCGGCGCGGAATACTCTAGGGCGCGTAGGAGACGGCGGCGTATAACGTAGCTCGCGACGTAAGTGTCGCGGGCACCGAAAATTAATAGGTCTTTCTCTGGAGACGGAGCGCTGAGTTGGACGGATTGCACCAGCAGCCATGTTTTTTGCCGTTCGGCGTCGCCTTGCGACGAGCCTGCGGCGTTGTGCTGCGATATTGTCGCCCAAGCGAGGCATAAAATTCAGCAATTCTCTAGTAGCCATTCCCGAATACCGTGTTTTAGAAGCTCGAGTATTGAGACGCCGCGATTTTCGAGTCTTTCCTACCTCCCGCATTCTTCGTCGCTCTAGGGTCGAGTGACACACACACGATATACTCACTATGAACAAAATAACCTGGTCACTATGAACTCGTTTCCATCGCTCATGCCAGCGAACAGGAAATACAATTCCCTTTTGGCATTAACGAATGGAGCGACTCGCAATGCGCATGATAACCCAGCCGTGGTAGAGAATTCAAGCAAATGTGCATCGCCCCAACTGCCGGGCCACAGGTAATACTGTACTAACTAGGCAAGAAATCGCCCCTAGTTCTTCTTATCACGGCTCCCTCCCTTCATCAGCCATCGCACGACGCGCCTCGTGAGATTTCAGCGGTTGGCAGATGAATATTCGAAGCGAAGGTGGTGGGATCGGCGAGCCGCTGTACGATGCTCCATTTTGACATTGATGGAACACACATTCAAAGTGTACTTGTGCTTTGCATCTCTACCATTCGCACTGGGGAACCCAAAAATATTACTTCGTATTGGAACCTGAACTCGGCAAGGTTACTGATTCTCCCTAATTGAACACGACCTCCAAGAAGGGAGCCGAATGGGAGCGATGCGTTACGTGGGACTAGCGATTGAATTCTCATCGCTAGACTCGGTATTCTCCAGTTCGTGCTTGGCCCTGCCCACGGCGGCTTTCGCAGCACAGCGGCTTTCGCCAGCAGTGATAGTGTTCTGATAACGAAAGTGCTTGTTGCACTTCTCCCCTTCCTTTTAGAGTCCAGCCACATTACTTCGTCCACCTATAATAATAAGTTCACAAACGAAATTGAAGATCAGACGGGATTAGATATTGTAAGGAAAAACCCTTTTTCCTTACTGGGGTTTACTCAACCGCGTACAACCCCAACTTTCGGAAGTGCACGTTCGGCCACTTTGCTTGCTGCCGAAGCAACCTCGCGTCGCCTTCGGCTTTCCCTTGCCCAACCTGCACCCAACCTCGCGTTCCCGAGGTTCCCGCTTAGCTAGGTTGACCTGCTATATAATCGCATACCTTCTCATTGTATGATCAGTTGATTAAGTCATAGCCTAGTTATTCGTTATTCCGCGCAACTCTGTTTGACAACTCATAACACCTGGTATCAGAGCTACTTTCCTAGTTCACATCGCTTTTCGAGGGTAAGTTGGAGGCACGGGTGTGGCTGGTAAAGGAGACTGCAATACGGTTGGCTGCAAGGTTCGTTAATTCTAACCTGCCCGACTCCGATAGTTTTTGCTTTCTTCTTGCTTGATAGGCCACGGATACCCCTTTGCCCTCCAGACGAAGCGTGCGACTCATGGACCAGGAGAAGTTGAACGAAATGCTGGCGCAAATGGCAGAGCTACAGGCAACAGTGAAGACACTATCGACGGAGGTCGCAACACTACGTGCGGAAAACGCCGAGCTACGCCAGACGCGAGGTGAAGCGCGTCAGGAGTCGCCCGATGAAGAAGGTGACACCGCCAGCCATGGAGCAAGTGGAGCCGTCACAAGTGGCGAGCTCGCACGAGGCAACGACGAGAGCGAACGACCGGCAGCGTCAGCGGCAGCGACAGCGCCAGCGACACTTGCAGTTATCACAATTAAGATTAAGCCCGCGAGCCCGCCCCCGTTCAACCCTAGCGACAAGACGACTACAGTGAAGGGGTGGTTATTCAGCATGGAAGTCTTCTTTACTGCAGCGCGCGTTGACGATGATGCCACGCGTATTAATTACGCAGTATCGCTTCTCCGAGGAGCGGCTCTGGAGTGGTGGCGACGTACCTTGGACACGGGGACCCCGACAGGTGTGACACATGCGGCAGACGGGACTTCAACGTCGGTAAATCAAGTGGCAGCACCGATATTCGGTGTGACCAAGATACGCACGTGGAAGGAGTGGGGCGCAGCCTTACGAGATCGTTTCGAGCACATATCCGGCTCTGAACAAGCTCGCATGAAGCTGCGTGCCTGGTCGCTGTTGGCATCTGTCCAGGACTACACAGCGTCATTCATGGCACTCGCCGACCAAGTGGACGATATGTCGGAGGCGGAGCGGTTGGATAAGTACGTCAGCGGCCTTAAATATGAGATACAGTACGAGGTGCGCCGATGCCGCCCGACATCGTTCCTGGAAGCAGCACGGTTGGCAGAATCCACGGACGCGCTGATGCAGTACGCGAGGTCGAGTTTCCGGGAGGGAAATCGTTTTCGCGGCCAGACCCAACGGGCCACGATCAACGGAGTCCATGCACCAGACCGCCCCTACACAGGGTTGTGTTTTAAGTGCGGGAAGCCGGGTCACAAATATGCAGACTGCCCCGAGAGAACGCCGGCGAAGAAGAACGACGGGAAGGAGCCGGGAAATGGGAAGAGTCAGTAACAGACGGGCCCCTTACTGACTGTGCTCTGTCGCCCGAACACCATCATCCCCACCGAGTCGTGGTTCCGATTCATGCAATCGATCGCACTCGGCCGAATAACGGGGATAATCATGTGGATCACCCTGTGCTGGTCGCTGGCAAAGTGTTAAAAAATAATTTAAAAATGTTCGTCGACGGAGGGGCCAGCCATAGCCTCTTCAACTTGGCGACAGCAAAAAAATGCAAGCTGCAACTTGACAGGTGTCTGCCCGAAATCGACGCTCGCCTCGTGGATGGGACGCCTCTGGCGATTTTGGAAAAAACACGGACGGTGCAGATCGACTGCGGCGACGATTTCGGCTTCAGCATGAAGTTTCTCGCAACGACGTTGGACGGCTGCGACGGCACAACCCCGTCATCGACTGGACAACGGGATCGTGCAGCATCAGCAAGCACGAGGGGCTAATTAAGTTGCCTGCATGGACACCTGACTACATCCAAGCCCCGTGCGTCAAAGCCATCACTATTGCTCGCCACTTCAACCGAGGCGCGCAGCTGTTCGCCGTCTGTTTACGCGAGTTGGCAGCCGACACCGACGGAAACGACATCGAGAAGCTGTGCGCAGCTGTACCACCTGATTTAGCGGAGCTGATTCGACAGTACCCGGACATCTTCCCCGACGATTTGCCACCTGGACTACCACCTGAGAGACCCGAGGACCACAAAATCCAGCTGGAGCCTGGCGCGCAGCCGACTGTTCGGACACAGTGGCGGTTGACCCAACCGGAACTCGAGGAGCTGCGAAGACAAATCGAAGGACT